GAGAACACAGCATCAGATATAATATCAACTTCAGATCGCAAAATGTCTTCCTGGACCTAAATTCTCCACGCGCAAATCTTTCAGCGAGAGGTAAATTGCGGAAAAAGTGTCTACTTTTCTGACATGTATAAACGCGCGCAAAATAAGCTGTAAACAAACACAACGGAAGATAAATTATACAAAAATGTTTGCCATCATTCTATACCGTTATTCGCACACACAAAAAAGTAACAAAAATAAACGCACGCAAGGATAAAAGTACAATAACGTGAAAAAAATTAATACATGAATAACAAAAATTATTAATCGATTTCTTTATTCATTTATTTATGTATCTATTAATTTATTCATTTAAATATGTGCCTATTTATTTATTCATTTATTCATGTACCTATTTATATGTTCATTCATCTCTGTACCTATTTATTTGTTCATTTATGTATGTACCTATTTCTATATTCATTTATTTATGTGTCTGTTTATTTATTCATGTACCTATTTTTTTATTTATTTATTTATGTACCTATTTATTTATCCATTTATTTATGTACCTATTCATTTATTCATTAATTTATGTTCTTATTTATTTATTCATTTATTCATGTGCCTATTTATTTTACTCATTTATTTATGTACCTATTTATTTACTATTTATTTATACCTATTTATTACTCATTTTTTATGTACCTATTTATTTATTCATTTGTCTATGTACCTATTTATTTATTTATTCATTGATTCATGTACCTATTTATTTATTCATTCATTGATTCATGTACCTATTTATTTATTCATTTATTTTGCGTCGCAGGTCGTTACGTGTGGACCGACACGGACCAGCGGATGGACTTGAGTGTTTCGGTGGATAACCGCGAGACGGCGACCGTGGCTGCAGGCTTCACGCGTTACAGGAAGTCCGGGAGCAATGTCGTCACGCCCATCTTCACTGTTACTTGGAAGGAACAGGAACTCGTCAAAGTGTCTGGTGAGAAACTGTTTTTTTTTTCAAGGGGGAGGGGGGTCTGAAGTTCATTGGTTTGATATAATGGTAGGAGTGGTTATGTTAGTCATCCTATTCTGTTGTTATCGTCGCAATCCTCGTCGTTATTATCATCATCGTTATTACCATCACCATCATTATCATTATTACCATCATCACCATCATAATTGTTATTACCATCACCACCATTATCATTATTACCATCATCACCATCATAATTGTTATTACCATCACCATCATTATCATTATTACCATCATCATCGTTATTACCATCTTCACAATCATCATCGTATCGTCCTCGTCATCACCATCACCACCACAACCATCATCTTCCCCCCACAACCACCATGAACCTCCCTAACACCCCCTACCCCCTCATATCCAACAGGAACGATCGACCTTCGCGAAAAACTAGGTGCCCGCTTGTACGAGGTCGACATGCAGGTGGCCTACCTCCTGCAGAACCGCCGCGGGAACTGGGAACCTGGAACGGGAACCATAAAGGGCTCTCTCAGCGATAACGGCTTCGAGAGAAACGCCAATCTGCAAGTGGATTATGTTCCTTCTGTAAGTGAGGGTGGTGATAGTGGTGTACTAAGGTGGTTGGTCAGGGGGAGGGGAAAGGGTGGGGGTAGATTCATGTGGTTTTGGATGAGGATTGAAGACGAGGGAGAGTAAGATGATCCGATAGAGAGAGAGAGAAGAGAGAGAGAGAGAGAGAGAGAGAGAGAGAGAGAGAGAGAGAGAGAGAGAGAGAGAGGAGAGAGAGAGAGAGAGTGAAGAGGAGAGTGTGAGTGATGACGAGAGAGAGAGGGGACGAGGGAGAGAGTGAGGAGAGGAAGAGAGGGGACGAGGGAGAGAGAGAATAAAATGAAAGAGATAGAGAACAGAAAAAGAGAAAGAACCCCCTACCCCCTCAAAGAAACAAAACATACCAAACAAAATAATAAAAAAGATCAAGAGAACCAGAAACACACAAACCAAGCTATAACAAAACACCAGAACCACCCCAAATAAACAAACAAACACAACCCAAGAAATAGCGCTTTCTCTCTAGACCCCAGGTCACCAACCAAAATGTCATGCATCCAGATATTATATATCTACTATACCCTATTGTATTAGACACTTAAATTATAACTTTTTAAAGTAACAATTTTACTTTTGTAACTATAACTTTACTTAATACACTCTATAGTTATTATAATTATTGTTATTATTATTGTTATTATTATTATTATTATTATTATTATTATTATTGTTATTGTTATTTTTATTTTTATTATTATCATTATTATTATTATCATGATTATTAATAATAATAATGATATTATTATTATTATTATTATTATTATATTATTATTATCATTATTATTATCATCATTATATTATTATTATTATAATAATATATTATTATCATCATTATTATTATCATCATTACTATTATTATTAATAATGATAATATTATTATTAATAATGATAATATTATTATTAATAATG